TCAAAGATCATTCAGAATTCACAATAATTCGCAATTTAGTTTGTTACTGAAGGCTAGTCACCTCAAGAGAATCGGTCATTGCTGGAAAGCAAAAATGATGATTTGATGTCCAAATATAGGCCTACAGTGGTTTGCGAAATTATTCACCCCCCTTGGCATTATTCCTATTTTGTTGCCTTACAAGCTGGAATTTAAATGATTTTTGGGGGGGTTTCTATCATTTGATTTACACAACATGCCTACCACTTTGAAGATGCAAAATATGTTTTATTGTGAAACAAACAAGAAATAAGACAAAAAACTGAAAACTTGAGCGTGCAAAACTATTCACCCCCCCAAAGTCAATACTTTGTAGAGACACCTTTTGCAGCAATTACAGCTGCAAGCCTCTTGGGGTATGTCTATATAAGCTTGGCACATCTAGCCACTGGGATTTTTGCCCATTCTTCAAGGCAAAACTGCTCCAGATCCTTGAAAGTGGATGGGTTCCGCTGGTGTACAGCAATCTTTAAGTCATACCACAGATTCTCAATTGGATTGAGGTCTGGGCTTTGACTAGGCCATTCCAAGACATTTAATTGTTTCCCCTTAAACCACTTGAGTGTTGCTTTAGCAGTATGCTTAGGGTCATTGTCCTGCTGGAAGGTGAACCTCCGTCCCAGTCTCAAATCTCTGGAAGACTGAAACAGGTTTCCCTCAAGAATTTCCCTGTATTTAGCGCCATCCATCATTCCTTCAATTCTGGGGATGGTGTACTCAGGGTGATGAGAGGTGTTGGGTTTACACCAGACATAGCGTTTTCCTTGATGGCCAAAAAGCTCAATTTTAGTCTCATCTGACCAGAGTACCTTCTTCCATATGTTTGGGGAGTCTCCCACATGCCTTTTGGCGAACACCAAACATGTTTACTTATTTTTTTCTTTAAGCAATGGCTTTTTTCTGGCCACTCTTCCGTAAAACCCAGCTCTGTGGAGTGTACGGCTTAAAGTGGTCCTATGGACAGACACTCCAATCTCCGCTGTGGAGCTTTGCAGCTCCTTCAGGGTTATCTTTGGTCTCTTTGTTGCTTCTAAGATTAATGCCCTCCTTGCCTGGTCCGTGAGTTTTGGTGGGCGGCCCTCTCTTGGCAGGTTTGTTGTGGTGCCATATTCTTTCAATTTTTTAATAATGGTTTTCATGGTGCTCCGTTGGATGTTCAAAGTTTCAGATATTTTTTTATAACCCAACCCTGATCTGTACTTCTCCACAACTTTGTCCCTAACCTGTTTGGAGAGCTCCTTGGTTTTCATGGTGCCGGTTGCTTGGTGGGGGCCTTTCAGAACAGGTGTATATATACTGAGATCATGTGACAAATTATGTGACACTTAGATTGCACACGTGTGGATTTTATTTAATTAATTATGTGACTTCTGACGGTAATTGGTTGCACCATATCTTATTTAGGGGCTTCATAGCAAAGAGGGTGAATACATATGCACACACCACTTTTTGAATTCTTTGAAACAAGTTTTTTTTTTTTCATTTCATTTCACCTCACCAATTTGGACAATTTTGTGTATGTCCATTACATGAAATCCAAATAAAAATCCATTTAAATTACAGGTTGTAATGAAACAAAATAGGAAAAACGCCAAGGGTGATGAATACTTTTGCAAGGCACCGTATATCATTGAGGGTCATTGTTCTGCTTAGTGCTAGAGTCTCTCGTATTTTATTTCCCAATCAAAATGTCTGTTGTGCTTTGTGCTATATTAGTTATGGTGCAAATGTTGATCTGATTAAAAGTGATATTGAATTTACTAGCTAGTGCAAAACAGTATGTAGTCTACAATTAGCCTACCTGGAACATTATTTGGACTTGGTTTAATAATATGAAACTTCTTCCACGAAAGTAATAGGCCTATAGGTAGCCTATGGGGTATCTTTCTGTAATCGATGTAGCCTAATAATGTAATAACACTCAAATAAATTCCTATAGTCAAATTTTACCGGTTGAATTAACATTGATCAGGTATTCATTCAAAAGTTCTAGTCAATAGAATCATAATTAAGACAAAAACAAGTTACCTGCAATAATAAGACTATCGCTTGTGCTGGAATTCAACGGACGCGAGCTGGAAAGATACCCCTTTCACGCTATAAACCAGCACAAGCGATAGTCCACATAATATGGAAGAACATTTTACGAATATAGGCCCATGTATTTATGGTCCCTAGACATGAAAGTTTCAATGTAAAGACCGAAGTCATTATTGCTATTTTCGTTATCGAATGCTTCTCTATGCAGCCGTACCCTTTGACTGAAAGGTCCACAAGGTTGAGAGGTTTGGTTATTTGCACAGGGCTACATGCAGGAAAAATATTGAAAAGAGGCATCCACCACAACACAATTCGTTTATTATGATTATGAATTATATGGCTCATTCAACAGATGCATTATGGAAAGCAGACAACGTTAAGATGTTATCCGATCTGAACATATTTTAACTTTGCTAGGCTGCAAACTTTGATGTAGCCTAGGCCTAACAAAAATATAAGAACAAAATGTTATCCAAATTAAATAGTTGCTACATTACATTAGGCTATAGCCAGTCAGAATAAAAAAAATGGTCTACAGAAAAATAGCCTAAACCTACATCTTGACTAAGCAAGTTGCCTATCAGACAGAAACGATACCATTTACATTTTAGTCATTTAGCAGACGCTCTTATCCAGAGCGACTTACAGTTAGTGAGTGCATACATTATTATATATATATATAATCCAGGTCGCGGCCTGGATTCGAACCAGGATCTCTAGTGGCACAGCTAGCACTGCGATGCAGTGCCTTAGACCACTGCGCCTCTCGGGAGGTTCCCTCAGAATACACAGACCAACAAAGAATTTGAAAACAAATCAAACGTTGATACACTCCCATATCTGTTAGGCGGAATACCGCAGTGTGCCATCACAGCAGCTAGACTTGTGGACCGTTGCCACAAGAAATGGGCATCCAGTGAAGAATAAACAGCATTGTAAATAACACCCATATTTTATGTCACGCTGGTGCCAGCAGCAGGCCAGCTGAGTGACTCACCAGGTTATCCAGATCATCGTAGAAGTAGACGTTCCATCCATCCACTAGAACCTCTGGCTTCGCTTCCCCGTCATAAATCTCCTGTAGTACAGGATTTACCAAGCAAATACGTTTTATGATAGGATTTATGATGATCATACTTGTACTTCAATTTGAAAATGCACATTCACAAACACAAAACCATCCTTAAAGTCTAAAAAATAAATGTTTCAATATGCATCAGTGTGTGGGCTGCGCAAATGTGACTGTGTTTCAGCACTTGTCATTCCCTGGCCTTGCCATCTCTTTCTGCCACAGGGACTTTAGCATATAGGCTACCGCTATCCGCACGGATTGACGAAAGATAATTTCACTGAAATCAATTCACCTGTTGTCAAGTTAATACCTCTCAAACATTCGAGGTAGCCTAAAAGGATTTAGGCAGTTTTATAGTAACTTGAAAGTCGCGAAATCACCATAAGGCCTACATTTTACCTTTTTAAAATCTTCAGATTAGCCTGCATGCGGCTCGCATAGCCTACCTCTGAAGCATTGGATGAGCAGGTGAACTCGAAATCGTCTCTCACTGGGCACAGACGTCAGTTTAACTTCCATTTTTGGTTGAGCTGTCAACTAATTTGAATTCAATGGGGAAATCAACAAAAAATGTCACCATGTCATTGGATTTAGGTTAAAAGTTGGGTGAAAAAATACGAAATTCCCTTATGTTGACAACTTTTTAGAACCCCAATCACTTTTCCACCTTCATTCAACGTCACAAATTTTGTTTGAATGACGTGGAAACAACGTTGATTCAACCAGCCTTTGCCCAGTGGGCTACCTGAGATAAATGACCATTATAGATCAAAGTAAATGACAACAATGAGTTATTAACTCAATTAGCATGCAACTGGTGAGCCATATTTTTTGTTTTAAAATAGATAAGGACTTAATACACATTTAATTGTCTTTGATGAATCTCGTTCACATCAAGGACTGGACTTTGATTTGAATCCATGCCATCTTTGCGGTGTACGACATTGTGCTATAGGCTACTCTATCCATTCCCATGTCCACAATTAAATAGGCCTAATTGGAAATTGGAAAGTACCAGGATGAATGGACTACAAGTCAGCAATAGTGGAATTTGTTTGTCTTCCAATAAGTGACGCATTAACCGCGATGAATAACATAGGGTTGGTTATCTTCACATCTAAATATGATTTGAATAAAGTATTCATTTAAAATATTCATCCATTGTATATTGTCTGATAACATTTTGTAAAGAAGCAAAAATAAGATACAATAACGATCCTACAAATGATATGGGGTAATGTAAGCCTACCCATTTATCAATAGAAAATAAATCACACCCCTAAATGAAAAATGAGCAGAATGTGACAGGTTGGATGGTGAAGAATATTGTCTTCATTTTGGTGCCTGATTCGTCTCTCGTGTCTGTTCGAAGAGCTCTCGAGTTAATAAAAAGGTTGCTATTTCATTATTAGGCTGGAGCCACAGTTTTACCCGAATGCACCAAAACTATAGCCTATTGCCTCACTAGAAATCCGACCAAAGAAACATCTAAAAAATATATACTTTTCGAATTAGTTCCATATCCCAGATATTTTTGAAGTTGACGTTTAAACCATCTAAATGGCATCTTGCTTATCTTAATTCAAAAGTAAAATTTTCCTCAATTACCCGGTTAAAATGTCAATGCCCATTGTTGGCTTGTTGCTCCGCCCCTCGTGTTTGTCGTAAACCTGGCGCCTGGCTAGAGTCAAGCCAAGATAAGAGCGTCCAAGGCTCCCCTCCTTCTCCAAGGCGATCAATTGGATATCTGACGGACCCACAAGTACTCTTGTAGGTGTCCTGCAGCAGAGAAACAGCACCACGGTCGGACTTGTTCCGCCTTCAGCCAAATTCACCTGCGGGCTAAACCATGTCCTTGAGCCCAAAGCACTCAACTCCTTTCTCAGTGACAGATATTTTAAGCCCGATCGAGGAGACCTACAGAAAGTTTGGAGGCATGGACAGTACAGGAAACCTCGCATCTTCTCTGTGCGCATACCGACAAACTCAGGTGTCTCAAACCGGCATGCAGCAGCACTCCATGGGCCATAACACCGGAGTGGCGAGCGCCTATCACATGCCACACAGCGTCTCTCAATTTTCCAGTGCCATAGGAGGCTACTGCAACGGAAGCATCGGTAATATGGGAGACCTCCCGTCTTACCAAGACACCATGAGGAACGGCGCAGCAGCAACTGCATGGTATAACGCAAACCCCGAACCACGCTACCCAACAAGTAAGTTGAACAAGTAGCCTATTATTTTTGTTACTTTTAAGAAATGCTAAATGCAATTAGTTTGCGATAATTTATTGTAAACTACAACTTGAAATGGTGCGTAATTGCATTCCGCACCACGATTTAATACATTAAAAATATTTTAACTAAGCCTGTATCTAATACTCATTTAACTTAGCCTGTATCTCTGTGCTATTAAAGTTTCTAGATTCATGGGAGCTTCCACTGGGATGAACATGACCGGGATGGGGACCTTGGCAGGGATGGACGCCACCAAATCCATGGTCACCTTACACTCTGCGCCCAGGAGAAAACGACGGGTGCTGTTCTCTCAAGCCCAGGTGTACGAGCTGGAAAGGCGGTTTAAGCAGCAGAAATACCTGTCGGCGCCCGAGAGGGAACACCTGGCGAGCATGATCCACCTGACGCCGACCCAGGTCAAAATTTGGTTCCAGAACCACAGGTACAAAATGAAACGCCAGGCAAAGGACAAAGCGACCCAGCAGATTCAACAGGAGAATGGCAACATGTGCCCACAGCAACAGTCACCGAGGCGGGTAGCAGTCCCGGTTCTCGTGAAGGATGGCAAACCCTTCCAGAACGGCTCAAGCACACCGACGTCTGGGCATCAGCAGGTGCAGCAGCAGCAGAACGTGTCCGGTGGGGCGATGACAGCTTCGGCCAGTGCGGTGGTCAATCACCAGGTGAATCATCCGTTATCCTCCGCCGAAGAACTGGAGGAAATGTCCCCCAGTTCCCCTATTCTACACAGCCATATTCACATGGCTCAGACAGACGCGGCTCTCATCGAATACACCAATAACATGGTCAGTTCAAACCTGCTTTATGGCAGAACTTGGTAGAAGGGAGAAATCTGCTATTTTACATTTTCATTCTGGAGAACACGTCAAGTGGATTTTAAGACGAACAAAAACATCGGGAAGGACAGTGGTCGTTCGTGACATGGACAACAAAAGCACCACAATTCCTTGACATTTGAGAGGTGCATAGTGCACCTATTTTTAAGAAAGTCGACCCTGCCTGTTTAATTTTGATTAAGAGCATTTGATAAAAATGAGACTCCAAGCACTCGGTGACGGTGTGAAGGGAGTGAAGTTTTATTTGTTGGAATTAAATTCTTTACGGACACATTGAGTGTATCAGGTCAAAGTATTGTAATATTTCGATTAATGAACCTGAACTGTATATAGTTAACAGAAATATTTCATGTGACAGTATGATTCTTGTTTTTAAAACGAAATGTTTATCATTTTTTGTAAATTACAAATGTTATTGCTGCTGCATAGCATACATATATACACACATCACAATCCAGTTGAACCAACAATAAATCGCTTGACATGTAAGCATTTCTGCTTATTCATCTGGCACATGGGGACGAAACGAATTTTACCGGTACATTATAGCACAATTATGAGTTTGACGTTGGCCTAATATAATTAAATTACAATTATTGTCATTTACATCATTGTTATTAGTTCTTACCACCCAATTAATAAACAAAAAACAGATTCAATAAATATAAATTCCAATATTTGTTGCCGTTACAAGCAGGCCTGGTTAAGTGGACATAAATATTTAAGCACGTAGTCTCCAGCATGACAAAGTCCTAAAATGCAAGACTATTTGCAGGATATTTAAATTGGGCCTCTGGACTGAGCAAACAATGTAAGACAAAGATGATGAAAGGCCAGAATTTCGAACTACTGTAACAACTGAGCTCAATTAATGTTTCAAATTTTAAATAAATATAATTTGTTATTCGTTGGCTCAGTGATTTGAACATTTGAAATATAAGCAAATAACATGCCAACTATTACTGTGATAAATTAGCCTACTTTATAATAGAGTCCGAATTAAATAAAGGGGCACTGAATTGAGACCAATGAAATATATTTAGAGGACCATGTACCTGTGAAAATGGGAAACTGATTTAATAAAACAAGAGCCTAATCAGAAACTATATTTTATTTCCCATGTAATTATATCTCAAAGCCTCTATGCAACTGCCATGGAGTTTGTCAATACAAGGAACTTTGAATTGACAAAAAAACATTCAAACATAATAAAACCTTTGTCTAAAGATGTGCCATTAACTCATGTTAAATTTTTCGTTTACAGATATTTTTCTATGAATGCTTCACATCAGAAAGCTTATGGCGATTGTGAGGACTGAAAGAGGAATATGATTAGAAAAAAGTAAGGAATATGTGATGCAAAGAGCTGAATAGTTTAATTTGGCTACATTTATGAAAATGTGAAATAAAATTAAGCTAATCTAAATTAGAGGGGGCAATATGAACTTGACAAACTGACCATGACACAATTGTCTTTTGACTCACTTGTATTTCACAAGTTTTACAGGCATTATTCTTAAAAAGTCAGTACATAAGAAAATTTGAAGTACTATTAAAAGAAAAAACATCTTACAAGTAAACAGCCTGAAAGACAAATATAGCGAGCAAAAAATAATCATATTGGCCTTCTGCCCATCCATGTCTAAATTTAACTCCAATTGTATCTTCTTGCTGGGGGTGGCAAGGGGTAATTCCGTCCAGAGTTGTATCCCTGTAAAACACAGAAAACAAGGGCCAAACCTGTCAGAAGGGCTGCACAGTAAGTTCGAGCATAAAGAGCAAAGATGGCACATATTAGTGCAGAATAGCATGCGTAAATTATCTGGAGGCGTCCTCCTTGTCAGGTGGACATTGTTGAAGTCATGTAGTTACCGGTTGTCCACCACGGTCTCCTCTACGGTCTCCTCTACGGTCGTCCTGACCACGTTGCTGCTGGTATCCACCCTGACCCTGCCCCCCTCCATGGCCTCCTCTCTGCGCGTTCTGCTGGTAGGCAGCTCCCTGGGACTGCATCGACCGGTCCCAGCCGTGCCCCACCACCACCACCATACTGCTGTCTGTATGGGCACAAACATTAAAATTGTCATTTTGGACTTTAATGAGAGACTTATCGGATTTGTTCATTTAAGGACTGTAGGCCTACATTGCAATTCAGTTCTTAACTGCCATGTTGGAGAAGATGACAAACTATCACCGCCAATTTTCCTTAGATTAGATGGTCATAAAGTACATTTTGTTTCTAAACCAACGCAGATTAGTTAAACAAACCTGAAGTTAAAACACCTAGCTAGTGAATAGGGCCGGAATGACACCAGTGTCGCAATCATTTTTTGCACGGAAAAATTAAAAAACACGAAGCAGACCAAACTCTTTGGCCCTTTATAAACCTGCTGTACGTACAGTTATAGTTTGGAAAATGTGACTGGATGACAACAATGTTTGAAAGTTCAGTCTTCCCTCCTAATTGACAGCTACAAACACGTTTGCCATGCTCCATGCATTTATCCTGCCGATTTCCTCATTCTAAATATATCAGAGCACCTGATCAGGAGCAAAAAAGAAAAGATGTTTCAAGTTCTATTGATGCAGCCTTCAATTGACTGTGGTGACCTAGCAACATCCCTGCTAATTGGTATAGACCTGGAGATTGAATTCATAAAAGAATAAAAAAGGGCCACCCATTTCACATGATTGAAAGTATAAGAATATGAAAAGAATGCCAGAGTATGAAATAAACCATACATTTACATGTCACTTGAATCGTGAACTGCACGCTCATCCCTGAAATGAGGACACCACATTGCCTGTGTGTGATGAGCACACCGTGGTTCTCCACGAATAACGCCTCTGCAATGTGTCCATCCATAAAGCCAAGCAACCATATTAAGTCTCATCTTATTCACTACAATGGCCGAAGGAAAAAGTAGGAACCGTCCTAGAAGGGCCCATCCCTCATTATTGAACCATGTCACATTCTTTCCCAATGCCAGACTTAGCAGAGCACTGGAATCTGTAATCCCTCCTCCAAGTTCCTTATGCATTTCATTTCGGTCCCGTTCGTATAAGTAGTTAAAGAAACTGTTTTCACTTCACCACTAATAACTAGTGACCTAAGGTGACAGAGAGCCACAATGGGCCTGGAAGGCCTGAAAAGTTGAACCCAAGAAGCTGATTAGTCCTTCAAGAGGTCTGGAGCCAGAAACAATGGCAGGTCTGTGCGGACACTGTGGCTGTGGTGCAGAATGTTACCGCTGGAGCGGTATTAGTGATGCCTCATTAAGTTGGCCAAACCTTCAAGAGAAATGTGTTTAGCGCTCCCAAATTCTTAATTCATCTCTAAGCCCCCCCATGGTGCAGCCCAGTGGTCTCAACTAATATAGGAAGGCCTGTCATCTACCTGTACATTTAGTGTAACTCAGTGGTCACCACTAAACTACTGGAATAGTTTATACTAACCATATATATTACACTAAACCTCATACGTAGTAAAAAAAAAAGATTTTTAAAAAGGTGTAAAAAAAAATACAAAATGTACTACCAAGGTTAATTTCTTATGCTGCGGCAGCGGCTTTGCAGAAATACTACAACATCCGTTTGTAAAGTGTGTGTGTGTATATATATATATATATATATGCTGCTGCATCAATCATTAATTTAACAGGCCCAGGATGAGGGGCCTTGTGAATACACGCCTATGTATGAAAAGCAGACTATGCCATAGACTCACCTTGGATATTGCTGTACAGGGTTAGGGTTGTATGGGGGAGGTGCCCCTAGAAGACCCTGCTGCCTGGAATCTGTGAGTGACAAAAGAGACATTCAAAAAGTGGTTCTGGGGAACCAAAGTCTAACACACTACTAAGCAGCTAACACACTACTAAGCTAACGAGAGCAATACGCTCTTTTAAAAACAGCAATACTTTAGGCCTACCTAAGAATTTTGTTCTGATGAGTTGCCATCAGTGTAATTTTTTATACATGTCGGTACATATTGCATAGATAAAAGCAGCTATGACATTTCTCTGTTTAGTGAAAATGCTAGTTTGACAAAGTGAGACTACACTTCAACAATATTTTATAATAACTTTAGGAATCAATTCCAAAGTAATCCCTTCTTTGAGTGAAAGTTAAACCTGTTGCAGTGTTTGCCGATCAAAATGGAAACTCAGGTTTGGTATAGAACACTGAGACCGTATGTAAAAAGTTAGAAGTTAAATTAACCCAATTACTTGCAGCCTTAACCTCAATATGAAACCCATAGATCTCAATCTAAAAACGGACACAAATAAAAACAGTCGCAATGATGAAATTAAGCCCATTCAAGCACTAAACCACACTAGGATTTGAGGTGGGGGGAAAAGATGAGGAAAAAAAGGCTGCATTTGCATTTCTTGTCTCCAGCAAAATGAAATAAGCATTCAGCGGGCAGCACTGTGGATGACTCAAGTACCCCTGGTTCCATCGCGGCGAGCCCCTTCACAAAGCCACACTTTTTAAAAAGTAGAGAGAGCTGCTTCTTCCAGATCCGCTGTTGCCAAGGCAATGAACAGCTGCAAGCCTGGGACTTGTTTGTTTATAGGGGCAGGCCTGGTGAGTGGCTGAGAGGGGAGGAGAGGGTGCGGGGCGGGGTGAAGGGTGCGATCAAAATAACTTCAGCAAAGAAAAGCCAGTCATTTACAAACCTGGATTGGAGGTTGGTGTTAAAAATAGGAGATAGGATATCTGGGAAATAAGCACGTTTGGCCTGATGACAACACACTGAAAGTTTCACTTTGAGGCCAATGCTCAATGTTATGATATGGAGAGTTTCATGTGGTCTGAGATGGCCAAGAGAATATGGACTGGTCGGTCAGTCACTTTTGCGGTGGAGTAAAATTGACAACAGCAGATGTTTGTCAAGTGATTGAAAATTCTACAGAGAAGAACTACATACAATTGAAATACTAACAATGCATAACTGTTTGTTCAGACAAAGTGATTAGGTTGGATATGTAGACTTGTAAATCTTGACAGTTAATAGTCTTGTGGACCAACAACCTTATTGAGGACCACCCACTCTGGCCCCAATTACACTCCTGTAACATCCTGTCAGTCTTCTGCCCTGTTCTGATGACCAGCAGTCAGTCCAAGGAGGAAATTACAATTAGACACCTGTCAATCTCCTTAATTAACAATGATCTAAACCACTACAGAGCTCCAAGCCATGTGATACAAAAGACAAAGGATTACACCTAAAATCCCTTAGTACACTACACATTCACTGTATTAACCCAAAGGATTACAACTATCCCAAACCAACTCACATTTCCACAATACACATTTTCTTTCATTATGCCAACAGTCGGTAACGTTCTATGCCTAGAACTTTCAGCCCCAAAACAGAATAAACTGAATTCCATGAGAATACCATGAAACTGCAACTTTTAATAAAGCAGTGACAAAGTTGCTAGTACAATGTGACTGGATGTCAGAAGACTAATGGCCACCAGCAGTGTCGCTCCCTTGGGTCATTACACAGCAGCTGTTTTTATTAGGCCCAACAAAACCCTGCAGCACGTTTCAGAAGCAGCGGGTTGACACATCACCGCAGGAGGTAGTGGCACACTGAAAGGGGAAGTTAACTTTGGTTTCAACCCTCTCCAGTCTACCACACAGCCAATCAAATGGGATCGTCCCAGAAGGCTTTTATCAGAGGGGCCAGTGTGTCCAGAAGCACTCGACAATCTCATTACCACCCCCAGTCTCCCAGTGCAGCCAGCACCACTAATCAGCAAACAGCGACACAGGAGCCCCCCATTCCAACAAAGGCCCCAACCCGACCAGGGTGATTACTGACAACCTAGTGGATCCTCCCTGAGAGAGACAGTTAACAGCAACAAAAGCCTTTGCGCTCTGAGCTCCCTACCGTCCCAGAGTTGTCACATTTCTAGTCTCGTCTCAATAACTTGCCTGGCTAATTGTGCTGTTGGGATCGATGTCGTCTCATACCATATATAGACTAGTTATTAATCCGTGCACAATAGTCTACAAGATAATATAACAATCATTAAACCTTTTATAAAATGGTTGACCAAAATCGCTAGATTCTCTTATTATGGATGGAATGGGAATACACACACACACACACACACACACACACATTTCTACAATTATGTTACGTAAATTGGTCTGACTTAAAGCTGCAATAATGTCACTTTTGGGGCGATCGACCAAATTCACAGAAATGTGAGTTATAGACTTCATTCTCATTGAAAGCAAGTTGTAGAACTGTCACGCATTGAAAGCAAGTCTAAGAAGCGGCAGATCTGTTCAATGTGCACTATTTCTATGTTTCCCGTTCTTAAGTTTAGTTTTTGAGTCTTTTACTTTCAGTTTTGTACGTTAGCTTCAAACAGCTAAAAATACAATATTGTTGGTTATTGAAAATATATTTCTGACGTTGGTTATTCAAGGCAAGTGTCAAAGGGACAGTAGTCGGTGAAATTAAGCAGTTACAATTCAAAAGAACTGCAGGAATAATTACATTTCTCTTCAGGACTAGAAGGCCATGAATAAAAAATAAAAAAAACCTTTACGTAAAGTGACAATTTGAAGAGAAACAGGCCCACAATCACAGATGGGCCAGAGTGTTAACCCTGATTGCCTTAATCAAAATAACTAATATAGAAAGAAAGAGGATGAAGTCCGTCCTAGCTGCTAATTGGCAAGTTTACCATCAGGGATGAACAGCAGAGGCCAAGGGAGGCTGCCGCTATCCGAAGGAACCAAAAGCCTTATTTGCATCAAGTGCCACTGGAATAGCCTCTGCTCCCCCACAAGCTATCAGCAGCCAGATGAGATTATTCATCAACTTGCAAATGGAAACATCAAAGTCAAATTGGAGAACTGGGTCTACGTCCCAAATGACACACTATTCCCTGTATAGTGTACTACTTTTGACCAGAGCCCTGCTGTCAGAGGAGCATGGGGCTGAGGCCGGGGCCAGGGGCCAACCAGGAGCCTCTGATTAGGGGCTGGGAGACCAAGAGAGAATGGCACCCTACAGATTACACCATTCCAACTCCCTAGTGTTGAACAAAGGGCCATTTAATTGTATAATAGTTATTTTTCATTTTAGAAGGAGGTACATTATGTCAGCCGAGGACAAAGGAAGTGAAATGTAGCAGCAAGTAAGAAAGGATGCAACAAAACGGCTTTTCGGAACTGAGATTACTGTTAGTCTTTGCTAGCTTTCCTATCACCTATTTCAGATAGTTACTACTAGACCACTGCATTGACAACGTAAAGGCTATATTTTAGATGGGAGATGCAGTGATGGTGTTTTTTTAAGGCCTGACTGTGTGTGTGTGTAAGAGGACTTACGTGGAAATTGACCACCACCGTGGGGGGGCCTGCTGTAGTTCCCCTGGTGGTAGTTGCCAGGGGGCGGAGCGTTGCTGTACTGTCCACCTCCCTGCTGCTGTCGGTTAATGCTGTGACTGAAAACACACAGCGTAAGTCACAGACATTAAACATCAGCTAAGGGCTGTTCCAGACACACTGTTCCTTAAGCCCCAGCTGCCAGTCAAATAGCTGTCTACTAACCCTAATGTGGCCGGCTACTTCATTGAGTAACACATTTGGGTGCATCAGATGCCTACACATACAATACACATTTTTATTTTTTAAAAAAACATTTCCTACTGGTATTTAGTATATAGACATGCCTACTAACCATTTGCTGTCACATCTAAACACAAGCAAACCCAACTCTGGGAAAATAACTCATTTATGCCAGGTTTTCCTAATTACCAGTCTCTGAACACCTGTCCATTTGGCCCCATCAAGGCAAATAACTGTTTAAATTACAGAATTAAGGATTTGGTGGGCAAAAACATTTCTGAATACATCATGGTTTCTTTGGCAGCATGCATAATTCATTACTAAACATGCTACAGTCCAGAATCAGCCAGATGTTCAATTACCCAGGTTCCTAAAAAGGGGCAATCCGGGATTGGTAAATCCATTTTTGGACTTTCCATGGGATTGGTTCAACAGTATTTACTTTGTAAACAATGTAACAGTAAACAAACCAAACACATCCTTCTGTGACAGTAAACTAACACAGCCTTCTGTGAATGTCTGACTAAGTAAAGTAAAAGAGCTTAGATATCATAAATCAAAAAGGGTGACCATTGAAGGGATATCATACAAGTTGGTCTGGCTGCAAGTCTAAAATGGTCTGAAGTGGTGTACACGTACCCAGGAGCCCTGAAGGATGACTGGTCCAGGTGGACCTGCTGCCGGTTGGAGTTGAAGCCCAGTTGGGGCCTCCAGTTACCCCTACCACGGTTACCCCTCTCCCAGTCTCCAGGCTTCAGCACCTTGGCAGGAAGCCTGAGAGGCGAGGAGACATTATTTTAATGTATTTTTATTATAAATTGTTATTGATTTTTCCACACAAAAATTAACAAACAGAAAACACCACACTGTCATAAAGAGCTCCATGAACCAACAAAAAATAAAAAGCCAATGAATATACTATATGCCTTTGTCAAAGGGGACAGGAGAGAGAGACATGAGTGACGAATGCAAAAATGACAAATATACTGGATGCCATTCTTTATAATCACGGATGTGGTGTACAAATTCAATTGAGATCCATTTAAATCCACTAGACAAGGTGTAGCAATAAGTATTTTGATAGCGTTTAAGATAAATCCAAGACTTTACACTATATTAACATTGTTCTTTAGGCAATGTATCTAAGCACATACAGAAGGTGTCATACACACAGTAAGATAATATACAGCACTGATGCAATGGGAACATGTTAATTATAAAACAATGCATTGTTATAACTATTAACTTACTTGGCTCCAGGAAGAATGACAGCCTTGAACACAAAGGTCTCTCCGAACTGTGGGTCCTTATATTTCACTCTGCCAAGACAAAAAGGAACTATTTACTAAATAATTTGGGCTACAATTTATTTTATGAATAATTAATTTGTGAGTTTATAAAAATCGGTACTTAAGCCTTAGTGAAGACAGAACAAATAATATTTTACAAGAACAACCTGGTTAATTCAGGTGGATTCCCTAAAAAGTTAACACTTCAGTAAAACTCCAGGAAAAGCTGACCCCAAGCCTTGCATTGGCAATGAATTTAAGAACCATCCTGTCCCATGGAGAAATAGCGAGCCATGGCATTTTAAATCGGATACGCCAGCGCTGTTCGTAGAAAAATTTGTATCACTTCAGGTTTTTGGCATCAGCCTTGTTCTAAATCCAGTGTGAATGAGGGAGGCCATGCCCAAATGGCACCCTTTTCCCTATATCTGGTCAAAAGTAGTGGACTATATATGGAATAGGGTGCCATTTGGGACACAATCCCAATGCGATTAAGGGAGTCTCAGCTCCTCTTAGAAGCTGACCCCCAGAGGGCCGAGCAGGTCATTACATCCAAGGACTTTATTTATCTTGTGGTAAATATGAGCATTTGAAGTCAACCATTGAAGAAGGAAAATGTGACTTTAGATTTCTCCTCCTGGTCAAGATCAATCACGTAGTGTAAAGCAGTAACGTGAACTTACGACTACCGCTCTTAGGATTGTCAACTTGCCCTTCAGGTGAACAATCGTACGGAATTCAGTCTTTGTACAAACAGATAAGGTGACAGCTTCAAGTAATGATAAAAAATGTACACAATGGAGAGAACATTTATAGGCCAGAGGATCATGCTGAAAACCATTGCTTCATCCTTAAATGGCACCGTATTCCCTATATAGTGCACTCAATTTTGACCTGGGCCCACTGGGCTAGGGTGCCATTTGGGACGGGGTCCGAAATCGGTCACGTGTCCCAACTGGGGTTATTAAGAAGGTAAAAGATTATTCTTACCCAATGGCACTGTTCTGTGCAATGTCCCGTAGCATGGGGATAGGAGACTCCACTGGCCTAAGAACAAATGAGGTTTCACACATAGGTTAGCCATGATTCTCTCCAGAGAAGGATGAATAACGTATCAAAAAGAGTGATAAGAAAATTGATGTTCCTTACTTATCTGGTAGGATAGGGTCTCCGTCAAGATTGAATGTACCTTGAATTCCATGGCATAGTTCTGCCGGCATTTCAGTGCCCTGAGGTAAACAGACAAAGCAATATTAATTTCATTTTAATGTAATGTTTATGTATTTAGCCAGGATAGTCCACTCAGTAATTGCCACTGTTTTCAAGGGAGTCCTTAATACTTCTATTAGATGGATTGATCAAATTGCAGGGATGCTGCTTTCTTGCCATACCTCGTGAGATTCTCCACGGTACAGTTCCTGGATGAAGTCACAGATAGGGTGGGACTTCCCCACAAACAGCATATCACTGCCAAGGCTGTTCCTCTGGTCTGAAACAAAGAGTGAACACATCAGCTGACTGAATTCATATTCAAAAGGATTCCTGTAAGGGAGTTCTTCACATAATAAACCTATTGATCAGCACTGACACAAAGGTCATTCAAGAGAATAAACATTGCTTCCTGTGTTCAATTGGTCAATTTCACATGTGGAATACTTCAGTAATAAGTAGTGTTACACATTCATCTTCCAGGAGTGGTTTTCTTCACACTTTAAATATTTCATTAATAAAGTACCTGTGACTCTACCACTGTTATACATTCATATTCTGAAGGAGTGGTTTACAATGGCGGCTTGAAGTTGAAGAATCCCATTACTCACTTTCCTCTGTAGAGAGGTTTGGGTAGACTTCAGCCAGGGCTGCCCTCAGCCTGCGCTCATCCACGAAGGGCAGCAATGCAACACCTACACACAAAGGTGAAAACACATTCAATCAAATGTATTCTATAAAGTCCTTTTTTACATTCGCAGTAGTGCTTTAGTGGTTACCCGTTCTAGACCCCATTGACAAGCAAAGCATTGTGTATATCATTCATGACATACACACTGACCACCTGCATTCAGTGCCATGCCAAGGTGTTCAGGTCAACGGTCAAATCATCTGTTGACTTACCCTGCCAAGCGTACTTCTTTCCATTCAAGTCAATGGCAAAGTCGTCAGGGTAGAAGTCAATGATGGAGGATTCCTGTTGGAGAAGGAGCGACAGGTTGGGAACTCAACAGTGACTGACAACAGTAGTAGCGTAGCAGTTAACTCCTATGATCATAACATTGGTCACACTTTATTTGGATAGTCCACCACAGATAATATATCAGTTATAGTGAGCTCCAAAAAGTACTGGGACAACTTTTGTTGTTTCTTAGTTCAAGTGAAGGGAAATCTTAACGCTACAGCAAACAATTACATTCTAGATGATTCTGTGCCTCCAACTTTGTGGCAACAGTTTGGGGAAGGCCCTTACCTGTTTCAGCATGACAATGACCCCGTGCATAAAGCGAGGTTCATACAGGAACGGTTTGTCGAGATCGGTGTGGAAGAACTTGACTGGCCTGCACAGAGCCCTGACCTCAACCCCATCGAACAACTTTGGGATGAATTGGAACGCTGACTGCGAGCCAGGCCTAATTGTCAAACATCAGTGGAAAGCCTTCCCAGAAGAGTAGAGGCTGATATAGCAACAAAGGGGGGGACCAGCTCCATATAAATGCTCATGATTTTGGAATGAGACGTTCGACGAGCAGTATTTGTGCATCTAACTTTTCCACTCATTCACGATTCATCCGTAATCATGGTAGCATATACATTAATGTAGAAGTGTTTAGAAATATTCAAATCTTATTTACAATAAAAGTACTCCAAAATTACACAATACATTATTTACCATTAATTTGTATAGGGCACAAAATAATCTGAAGCATAACCAAAACAAACAGCAAATGCATCCAACAAATGTATAGAGTCACAAGCTTGATGTAGTCATTGCGTGCTAGGAATATGGGAGCAAATACTAAACTTTTAACTACTTTAATACACATAAGTGAATTTGTCCCAATACTTTTGGTCCCATAAAATGGGGGGGGGGGGGGGGGGGGGGTTACGACGACTATGTACAAAAAGTGCTGCTATTTTGTAACTATTCACCCAATATGGATGAAAATACACTCAAATTAAAGCTGACAGTCTGCACTTTAACCTCAGTCATTGTATCATTTCAAATCCAAAGTACAGAGCCAAAACAAGAAAATTTGTCACTGTCCCAATACTTTTGGACCTCACTGTACATCTATGGTCTCTTATAGATGATCTACAGATAATATAATAATAATATGCCATTTAGCAGACGCTTTTATCCAAAGCGACTTACAGTCATGCGTGCATACATTTTTTTGTGTATGGGTGGTCCCGGGAATCGAACCCACTACCTTGGCGTTACAAGCGCCGTGCTCTACCAGCTGAGCTACAGAGGACCACAGATGCTCACACTATCAACTATAAAACATTTTATGCTGAAAATGTGTAAAATCAAGTGAAACTTACTGGATTGCTCATGAGTGACCGCCATGTTTCGGGCAGGAAATTTCCACTGGCGGCAGGGAAAACGCCCATCAGCTGCTCCAGGGGTTTGAACTGAAACACACAGAACATTAGACAGGCTTAACCAGGGGAAGACTGAAGTGGAATGACAGAGAGAAAACACTGCAGTCTGTCCATTCTTACCGGCTTGGTCCCAAGCTCGAAGTCGGTGAACATGCCTTTGATGTCTTTGAAGTCGGAGGCGAACGGGGCGTAGTGGAACGGGAAGTACCACTTCCAGGATGCGCACCCCTGTCAATCAACAGACAAACAGTTAATGAGACGGCCCGGACAAATAATCCTCCTCCAAAACCTCACCAAGTCCACTGACAGTCTAATTAGATGACTGGCTAACTGGGGCCCAATCACTGCAGATTTTACTTTACTTATCTTTTATTTGTGTAAATATTCATTTGCGGAAATAACAATGGCAATTCAACAGTAAAATAGTAAATACATAGCCTACTAAAAAGGATGCCCAGGAAAGGGGTGAATTAATACCCCTTTATCAAACTAAATTCCATTTAATTATATAGCCTACATGACACTAATCTAAGTGACATTTGCCTGTGAGTATGACTGACATTTAAATCTTATTAGATTGCATACTTGGGGAAAACTGGAAAATAAAGTAGTAGAGGTTGTTAAATCATGAAGTACAATCAGTGTAAGGAAGAAATAGTGGGAAGGGCTTGGAAAATGGGATGTCCCAAAAACACTTTCCAATACCAGCTTAGTACCTCTTCGCTTATACAACACTAACAAAATGAACACTGAAATTCATTTAATCCAATATTTAATGTATTTTCAAACTATATATTTGTGCAGAGGAGTTAAAAAGAATATTAACCCAAAGAATCCAGACACTCATCCTCGGCTAGTGAATTACCATTTCAAAGTCACACCTATAGGTGACCTTCGCCGGCTGGCTGGCTAGAATGCTCTTCTCGTAGAGAATGAGGTCCCCTATTTATTTCAACAGTCTTCACATCAGACTCGGCAAATCTAATTTAAATGCGGACAAGTCTATTATGAAAGATCATTCATTCAAATAACAAAAATGTGGCCATTTTGCCAACACAGGATTTTAAAAAAATTGAGAATCGGACAAAAACGGCGAAATACCCATGTTTAAATATTTACATAGCCCTAGAAGATGTACATAATCAAATTCCCCGGCACAAATCGGATGTTTTTAAACAAACGTGACAAATCAAGGTAACGCCATTTTATGCAGAGCGATCCCCCCCCCACAAAACAGGTTTGAGCTTTAGCTCTGTGTTTTGGTTTCTGACTAAACCGTTCCCCCACAGCGTTTGGCAACATGTGCGCACGCATCATAACTCCAGCGGCACAACCAACCCGGTGAATGTGTGGCGGAAACTAAGAGACACGTCTCCGTCAATTGAGGGCCTGAGTAATGAATACATTCAGGCCGTCCCCTGGGACTGCCGTTGATTGCCGAGCATGTGTTGTCAACATAAGGGCCTCGCATGAACAGGGCTCACAATTACCTTGGACAAATCCCTAAGCACCAGTCTAATCAGACTAGGATCTTCTCGAGAGAACGGACACCTAATTATTGAATTTAAAGTTAAAGATCAAGATCTGCATCTACATCTAAACAGTTAAAGCGATATTACATAGGTCTGTTTTTTTGGGGGGGCCGTTTGGTGACAAAGCAAACAGAGTAGCTAGGACAGCTTGATCCATCAGATACTGAACAAACTCCTCCAGAGAATACTCCGTAATCCCCTGAGACCTGAAATTATGGGTCGAAGTGTACATTTTCAAAGCGAAAAAACAGTCACATTTCTATTTAATACTGATCAATAATCAGTAAAATAATTGACCATTGAAAGATGACCCATCCAATTTGACTAGGCCTTGGGGTTTTTAAAGCCCATTTTGTGAGGGCCGTTATGATGATAGTTCTCCGCTGTGCACGTAAGGCCTTCTGTGTATATGTGACACTGCATCCTGTGCATATGACAAATACACTTTGATTTCGAGTGTTGTACCTGGTAGTAGTATCTCAGGACCCAGCAGAGACCCTCCACGTAGGACTTCACCACCTTTTTGCGAAAGTCATCGTCAGTCGCGTCAACGTCAAACTTGGTCTTGTAGTAGCGCTGCTTCCAGCCATCCTCCCACAACCTAACACAGGGACAGTCACATTCATTTCCCATTCCTTCAAGCACATGGAGTGGTGTTCATGTTCTATTGCGGGGGTAGGCAACTAGATTCAGCCATTGGACGATATTTGTCGGCGCGGATGTCTGCTCTTGGTCAACCGATAGTCATCTGTTCTTTCGACCAATCGATTGGTATACATTTAACGTATATTTTTTCCCATATAAAATCAACTATATGTAGGCTACTGAGCTTTTCTGATGCTTTAAGCACTGCGATTAAAAATGAAGACACAAACTACTAAAAAGAGGGAGCAAGAGATCAATATAGCCTAACCAGAAATAAATAACACCACAAGAAAAACGTTTCCCGACCCTCCTCCACTGACCGCTGCTGTTGGCCTTCGCTGCCATTACACTCCTGAAGATGCCAGTAATAGGATACACCAGTGGTCAGCAATCTTTTCCATTTGGAGTGATAAGTTATACAATTTCTACCGATCTGCATGCCAGTTACGATTTTCATATGCACATCTTTTATCTATAATAAAGTCTTCATATCTCAAAAATCAATGTCATGTGGTTAATCAAAATTCGAAATGAAAATGATACAAATCTAAAAGTAACTTCTATTGCCAATATGTAAAAATTGCCTACATAAAGCAAACAAATAAAAACATTGCAGCCTGCAGGTAGAAAATATCTTGATAAATAAATATCCTATAAAATCACATTGGCTATGCATTGCCTGTCTGCAAGGAACTTGAAACATTGTATCAACTATTGTATTAACTTGGCCCCGCCTGTTGCCGACTCGTTCTATTGTATAGGTGACAAAGCCATCTAACAAGCAAGGATGAAAGCCTTGGGCCTGCTCATCAATATAACTGTGAGAAGACCATTCTCATCAGCCTTTGCATTGGTTTGTCACTATGCCGAGTAACATATATAGTACCATTTCCTCACCTTACATACAGGATTTGGTAATTACCATAGCAGTCCATTTCCATGAAGGCAGAAAAACTAGTTTGCTTCTTTAGGAAGTAGTTTAATGGTTTCGACATACTAGTAGATTGGCGATGCAGTGCCATTCTGCACACATAATCAAAGATGAGCAGCATCTGTCTAACCAATCCCCCACACTGGCCCACAAGGAGAGCAGCCTAGTAACAGGAAAGCCTCCATGAATACCAATTTAGCCCAATGGATTTAACAGCTTTGGCGAGCGCATCAGGAATTTATGACAATATTCCTCCTTTCCATATTAATCACTTGCAGGGAGTAGGAGAGGGTGGTTGGAGGTAGTAGGAAACCACAGAGGGGCACTGCAGTGGAGAGACATAAATCACACCATCTCCCTGGCTGAGACGCCTGCCTGGTTGGTTGACAGAGTACCTGGTTGACTGACTGGCTGATTGACGGTAGCGTAGGCGTTTACCTGACGTTATCTTCAGGATCTGGTTCGCTGTCGCTGTCCTCGGCTTTCCGCTTCACACCCCGGCTATCCTGCCCATCACTGGTCCCTGCCTGGACAAGAGACAAGACGGAGAAGACTGTCAGGAGATAGCATACAAGGAATCCTTAGAAATAAACATACACAAACCATCTCCTTTCAGTCGGACAAGCAGCAATCCGCTAAGCAACCTAAAAATATTTCACCATCGTGGAGGACGCAAGAGAGGTTGGGACTGATATTCTCCTTTGTGTAAGAGATAATAAACTGATCCTAAAGAAATAAAACCATCTCAGGTAGAGCGCGCAGACCTTCCCCTTTGCCACGCTTCCATTGTGAACACCTTTGTCATGTGCAAATAACAGCTTGGGCTATTGTTCTAATGCATTTATGTAGCAAAGGCAGAGCGAATGGAGGCACTGTAACAGCTTCTTACCGTGTACATTCGTAAAAATAACCTTGCAAAGACCGGCAATAATAGAAAATGGGTACTGCACTCAGACTTGACATCAGATACATACAAGGCACTAAATTAACATTTTGCATTGGTATCAATGATCTACATGACAAACTTAAGCCTATGTAACAATTAGGCCAGACAAACTTGATTTACAGTTTAACGGATGCCCCGCTTCACTTTGTGTGCCAATTTATGCGGCGCTTTGTTCATATAATGCACTGTCCGCTCGAGGATTTTCCAAGCTGATACGCGAGAATAAAAGACCAAACCACCTCAGATCATGTGCTTGTTAACGTTCGGACCTCTGATTGGACAGTGACAACAACGTCAACGAACCAAACGACTGGCCAGAGATCAGGGCATTCATCAGCAAAGAAGCAGTGCAAGCAGATAGTATTTTGGACAACCAGATTGAAATCGAAATGAGTGATGACATCGAAGTGTCAGCTGTATGGTGATTTGTGATTCATAACTTACATTTTACCGGTTCTGCCTGCAGCAGGCCGACAGACAACACCAAGATTAAATGCATTTGAAGTTATCATGCGCTGCCGAAAACAGCACGCACATCCTGCAAAATGCATCGCCAGTGGCACGCACAGATCAGGAGCTCCACAATGTGGTCAACTGACTCCAAGGTAGGGGCTTTTCATAGCAGCCGGATGAGGCAAATGAAGGAGGATGCAGTGAGTGATTGACTGTATAGGCCTACTGGCCTCAAATTTGCACTGTAATGGATTGATGCTTCTAATTGCGCATGTTAAAAAAAATTTTTATTCTGTAGATGCTACAATAGGCTATACTCTATGGCTAGACTGAAATGTACTTTTTCCAATGCTACATGACAGACCTTGAATGATTGTCTATCTACAAAGTATAGGCCTAGTCTATGTAAGTCACTTCGGATAAAACCGTCTGCTAAATGGCATACATTATATTCTTGAATCAGAAAGAAATCTATTAAATATTTAAGCAATAAGTCACAAGAGTCAGTGCTGTATCATGAATACAGTCACAGGTAAATGGAGTCAGTGCTGTATCATGAATACAGTCACAGGTAAATGGAGTCAGTGCTGTATCATGAATACAGTCACAGGTAAATGGAGTCAGTGCTGTATCATGAATACAGTCACAGGTAAATGGTGTTGTTCGGCACTAAACGAGAGCGGAGGTCTAGTCAACCCATTTACCTGGGCACAGTTCACTCTAAGTACTACAGAGATCGAAATTAAAAAAGTGAAACATTGTTTCCGACGTCGGCCAGGCAGACAGCGAGGCTTATATTAACCCCCGCTGTACCAAACTAAATGCTAGGCTGGTGAGAGTTTAGATAAACACAAGAGATGATTCGGACAGCAACATGAACAAGATTATTCTTATGGAGGCCAAGTGATCATTTTCAGATGGAACTGTTAGCAGGCATAGGTGTGTGACGGCCAATACAGCACGGCTTGGAACGCTGCTCATCCAACCAGCATCCAGGATCCAAACAGCCAGTTTTTGAACCTACTTTATTACCCTATACTTCACATTAAATTAAGTTATCCTGTAGATAGGGATTGGATCGCACTCATTGGACAGACAACTTGAATGATTGTCCCCCTTTATATAAAGCAAGCTATTTCTCCTAAAAAGTGTGGTCTATGGTAGGCCTTTTAATATTTGTATTAATGCTTTGTTAAAGCCTAGTTAGGCTATACATTTAAGTAATGAACTGATTAAACAAGATATACTGCCCATTGTGTTTTATCTCATGCTTATAACAAATAACAATGTTAACATCTGCATTCCTTTTCTAAATAAAACAGGAAGGATTTCCTAGCGTAGGTTTTCACATGGAATAAAATAACTCTTGAAGCCCACATTAGGCCTAAAGCTTGCACAGGTGCCTAGGACAATGTGGTAGAATATTCATTTATTCCTTCTCCACCATTTCTGAAAAAACCCTCTCACTTGGTATCAATTTGGAGTCCATTTTAACTTGGGAGGGATTTGTAAAAAAAATTCTGCTCACTTGAGTCACTTTTCTGAAGAAATAAAATCTGTTAAAACAGTAAATCAACTTTGTCCGGCCTAACCGATTAAAAACAGTTTTGTAGCAATGAGGTTTGTGCAGTAGGCTATAGGCCAGCCAATATTGTTATATTTCTAAACTTAAGGTTTATGATCACACCGGTTATAAATCAGTTGTATTACTTGTGGAGGTACAGCCATCAGATGGCGCCTGCATCTGATGGTCACCACCCCTCTGCTCTCCCTCCTGGCGCGGAGACTGACCGTGATCAAAAAAAGGGAAGTCGTCTTCAAGCTGATGGCGGAACTCAAGTCGCACCGCATTATTTCTGCCTCATGCACAAATAAATAATAATAACTATAATAATAATACAAGCCTTTCGATACACGTTTCTACTCATTCATTGCAGCTGCATTACTAGTTGAAGCGCGAGTGAAAGGAGGGAGAAGCGCATTTTATGGCTTAGAAAAGTGTTGACAGTGCTGAATAAAGACGTAACCATGAACTCACTCATAAAAACAGCAACTATTTGCTGAATTCGTTGACAGGCTCTCTCTAGTCATGGTTTGAAACGTTTTTAAATCTGTGTCCATTTTCCTGTGCGGTCAAAAGAAGCTGCAGACACGGGATATGGCATTCAGAGGCAGCGGTACAGCGAGGCCTAATCAGAACTATTCTGGGCATTTTTTCTTGCCGCACAGCAAAATATTTAGGAGCATATGCGACCAAAATGGTCAAACTTTAGAGCCCTGGGTACATACAGGTAACTGTCAAAATAAAGGAAACCGCAACATAGTGTCTTAATAGGGCGTTGGGCCACCACAAGCCACCTGAACAGCTTCAATGCGCCTTGGCACCGCTCCAGAATCGCCCATAAGTGTTCAATTGGGTTGAGATCTGGTGACTGAGAGCCATGGCATATGGTTTACATCGTTTTCATGCTCATCAAACCATTCAATGACCACTCATGCCATGTGGATGAGGGCATGGTCATCCTGGAAGAGGCCACTCCCATCAGGATAGAAATGCTTCACCGTAGGTTGAAGGTGATCACTCAGAATGGCGGTGTATTTATTGGCGTTTACCTTGCCCGCTAAGGGGTTGAGTGGACCTTAACCATGCCAGGAAAATGCACCCCACACCATAAGTGACGCCACACTCATTTACTCAAGTGTTTCCTTTATTCTGGGAGTTACGTGTGTGTGTGTGTGTGTGTTTGTGTGTGTGTATATACACACAAACAGACAAAAGTCCTCCACTGCATTTGATCAATACAAGCCATAAATTCTGGTCCAGTTTTTAAATCACTACAAACTGAAGGTAATCAAATCAGTGGAGGCATACCTGGCCACCATTCTTCATTATGGCTTTTAGGGATTGCGCAACATCCTGAAATAAAGAGACTACTTTTAAATCACCTATAAATTGTATAATTATGCAAGTAAGGCATCGCCTTAATGCCAAGCAGGGCCGTGTGGAGCATTTTGGGGGCCCTAAGCGAAATTTGGTTGGGCCCCCCCACCTTGCGAGCAAAACATTTGTGCCCCCCCCCCCCCATCTTGGTGGCGGAGAGAAATTTGCAGCTTTAAAAGTTAATTACGTGCAATTCCACACATTTTCCCATGGGCCAGATAACATTTAGCAGTTTTAAAACAAATTTCATGCGATTCTACTCATTTTGCCATGGGGTGGTGAGAAAACAGCAGTTTCATGCACATTTCCTGTAGTTCTACACATTTTGCCATGACTTATGCCATGCTCATATGATTTCTGAGTGAGAGTGACTAACAAAATCAAAGTGGCCAGATAACGTGCCTTGCGTGCCCAGTCAGTAATTTGGCCATGATACTTACCTAGCAATCCAGAAAATGTTAGCTGACATTAGCTAATTGAGGGACTGTCAGTGACTGACATGACATGAAGAAAACTTCTGATGCACCAACACATTTCAAACCCTTTTTTGAGTTGGGGGGCCCTAGTGGTGCGGGGCCCTAAGGAGCCACTTAAGTCTTATGCCTAGAAAAGTTTAGAGTCTTTGGTATGACTCGGTTGGGGATTGAACCCCCAATCTCAGAGCAGACACTAACCACAGAGTTGTAGAAAATGTCCCATATTGCCTGCTGCGCCCAAACAACTCATTAGTGACTAATAGGGGGCTTTCTTCCTGCTGCACCAAGTTAAGAGGAAGCAATATCCCCATGATCAGCCCCCATCATACCTTGTTGTGCTGGTCCCTGCCCTGCATCCTCATATCGAAGGCTTGGTGCCGGGCGTTCTGAACAACCTCAGGTCTGCCTCTGCCGCCAAGGGCCTGGGGGGCAAACTGACCGCTGGTCAGGTAGGATGGGCCCTGCTGCTGAGCCTAGGGAACACAAATTCAATTTAAGTTTCCCACTTGTTTCCTAGTTTCCCAAATCTTGCACAGACTTTTGGTTTCCCAGGTCTAAATTAGTCAATTGTCCAAAGAAAAAACTAGCATACAATGTTGCAGATGTTCAAGGGCCAGATTTGTGCACCCCTGATTTAATACATCTATTGAGGGAACATTTGAAACAGTCTTCATCTTCAATACAGAGCTATGACACTGACAGTTTCAGAATAAATGAAAAATACTGTGTGATTGCCCATTGAAATGAATGGCCATGCTTAGTCATAGTTCAAAGAAACATGGAAAATGTGAAGAGTTTAAGGGCATCTTATCAAACAAATGAGACTTCATTGCCACATCTTAAACCACACCATACAAAGTCAAGCTATAATAACAAAGGTACATATTTTTCCACTTACCTTCATCCTCTTCTTTTTCTCCTTATTCCTTCGCTTGAATCCCTCCTACAAGACAAACCCCATTAGTTACACAAACAGTGAAGCTGGAAAAGGACATGGGCTTTCAGTTCACAGTGACTAATTCCCTGACATTGGCATCGTCTACATTATCTTAAAATGATAGTGTCAACGACAAAATACCCACCTGAGAGAGTTAGTTTAATCAAATAACCATGCAGTGGTTCATGTAAATATGGAAAATCTCCCACCCCACAGTTTAGCCAAAGAACATGATTTATTGAACAGCAGTAATGTCCCTGCTGAAAGCTACTGATCATCCTTCATCTTACATCGTCCTCTTTGCGCTTCTTGAAGATGTTGTCCTCAGCCACGCCGATTGCCTGCATGATCAACTCAACACTCTCCAACTTGACAAAGCCATTCTCTGTGATGTAGCCCTGTGAGGAGAGACAAATACCAAGTTAGGCCTATGAACAGACACCTGGGCAAGGACGAAAGGTCAGGACAGGTTTTAAGGGCCTGTGTCCTAGACAACTTAAGCCTCGTCCTGGACCAAAAACCTTTTTCAATGGAGAATTCCAATTGAACATGCTTTTTAGTTGAGGACTAAAATCGGTGTTTGAGAAACTGACTTAAGCCTAAACTGACAAAACGTACCCCAGTCTTGTGCACAACGTCTTTGTAGATGCCCACCAGTCGATCTATTGCACCCTCTCTGAAAGACACATGAAACGTATCATCAACAATTGAAATGTATGGAAACAGCGAGAATTCATTTTTTTGTCAAGGTGTTTTCAAGATGGTAAGCATCATCTCAGTTCAGTCAGGCTTACCTAATCTCTAAGGACGGTAAGTGGGGCAAGAAATCATTGCCAACAAAGAAGCACATGAAGACCCAGTCGTCGACAGTCCTCTCAAAGTCAAATGGAAAGGGCAGACTGGCCATTGTCAGCTCTCGCTCCAGGTACTGTAGGAAAAGGAAACGGGCCATGATAAACACATATAAAACTGGGGAGAGACATGCCTCGATACCTTATCCAATTTTGATCGGAAGATAAGTCAAGGACGTATTTCACACATACAACCAATAACACAATGGATGAGAGAATTACCAGCTACATGGCCATAAACACAACTACCAGTCTTTTTAGAAATTCAAGAATGTCTGACGGAACGTACCTCGCGCAAAACGCACAGCCTGATGAATATGAACTCCTGTTCAGAAGCCGGCATAGTGTCTGCAAACTCATCATGCTGCAATAAGAACACAATATTAGTCATCATTGCTGATAAATGTAGAGCAAATGGAATGTAGACTTTTTAGGGGAGATTTACTGAACACAGATAGTGCTGGACTAAAAACCAAACTTAATGGAGAAGCTCCATTGAAAATGCTTTTTTGTCCAGGACTAGGCCTAATCTGTGTCCATGAAACAGGCCCTTGGAGACATAGCTATAATGTCAATGTACCTCTCCCTGTTTCTCCCTGGCCACTCCCTGGCAGTCCTTGATCTCATGGCCTTTCTGTCCACACATAGCACAGGGCCTAGGCTGGTTGGGCTTGAACTCCTCTCTTATGATGGTGAAATTGGGCTCGTGAGTAGCAAGGCCCAGCATGATAAGGTCAGCTAGGGAAATCCAAATAAAATATGCAAACAGAATTGAAGAGGAAATTCAGCAACTCTAAGATAACAGTGGCAGTTGATGAAAGAGCGTCTTTATTTTTTAAATGTAAAACCCACGTGTTTCGACCCTTCAGTATTTTTGTGCAAACAGAAAATCTTGCAACACATTGAAAGGCTGAAAATAGCTCTGAAGTACTGCGTTTTATACGTGCATTGTCATCCGGGACAATGAACTCAGGTTTCTAAGGCATTATGTTAATTAAATGACCTAGCCTACATTATGAGCCATGCATGCATTATCATCTACAAATGTTAATATACACGTACAATAGCATGATTTATCCATTTGGGGGAGTGAGCCTGCGCCCAAAATGGCACCATATTCCCTACACAGTGCACTACTTTTGACCTGAGCCCCACTGATCCTGGTCAAAAGTAGGGCACTATATAGGGCCTAGGATGCCATTTGGGACACAGCCTGAATGTATCAGGCTCCTCTTCAAGCTAATTACACGCAATATTATCCCTCCTTTGTCCACCAAGTGCATTATGAACCATTGAAGGCTGAAGCTTTTATCTATCATGTCCTGCGTAAGTGCACCCATTCAAAACTCTAAACTGGCCATTAATATAGCAGAACAATGAGGCCTGCAGAAAACAGAGAAGCCCTATCATCTAACAATATACAAAGTTGGAATGTTGCAAGTAATTTTGCCACCTGTTTTAAGGACTGGAAACCAAGAACCTGTTTATATGTACTGGATCAGTAACATTTTGCAAAGCATTGCCTGCAGTTAAGGCGCATAACTTAATTAGCCGTCTCAGACGTAGTCTTAGAAAAACATTACATTACATGTCCGTCATCACTGTCAACCACTTCTGCCCGCCAGGCTCAATAAGGTAACATTGTATGCCCTACAATTATTGATAACTACTCAACAAAACCTGAATAAGAATCACTATGCATTTACATACCTTCGAGTTGGTTTGACATGAGTCTTAACAGTAATTTGCATCCATCATGCTCTCTCATAATTATAAGCAGCAGGATATATAAAAACACAGCTTTGGGGAAAGCTATTTTGCTGTAGATACTCAATGTTCTCCTATTTTGAGTCAGAGTGACCATGTGTTGGTTAATCTTCAATACTGAGAGACCATTGTGGTGCAAAGCTTACCGTCAGCTCCACAAAGACAGTGGTGTGTGTTGGGGTCATGGTGGGGCTGAGCTGTGAGAAACAAAAGTGATAAATGGATGGATTATGAGTCATTACATATAGGTAACATACATGTGATTGCAGAGCTTGAAAAAAACTGCACTAAGATGGAAGGCCATTTGCGACTTTGTAATATGCCTGGCAGAAATCACAGCCATATTACAATGTCACAAATGACCTTTAAAATGGTCAATAGCCACATATTGAAAACGACCATGAATGACTCGTACCTCTCTGTCGTCTGATATAGTCCATGATCTTATGTTCCCCCTCACCAGGGACACTGGCATCAGACAAGATGACCTAGAATGAACAAATAATGTTTTCATATGAGCATTGATAGCAATATTCAATGCATATGACTGTGTCAGACCTGACCTTTGTTTCATTTCCAATAAGCACATCTTGAGAAATGTTCTAAGGCCTTTACAAGTCTGAGCAGAAGAATAGACCAACATAACACTTTCAAAAGCCGAAACGGTCTAAATGAGTCAGCTTGAGATTGAAACATGTCAGCTTTTTAATAAATTAAACCACCAAAGCATTAGAATTTGTTGTGGTCTTTTTCAGAGATGCCATTACCTTTTCGCAATAATACTTACTGTAATGTTACGCCATCCAGGGTCATTACTGAGTCTGTCTGCAATGTAGTAACGGAGACACTTTGCAAGGTTGTCCATGAACTCTGTGCCCTAGAGAATTTTCAAATGAATAATAATGCATTTCCAGACAGTATTCACAACATAGCAGCTTCACAACAAAAACTGGTCAAAAAGTAGCAGGGGCAAGTTCCTCTGCACAAGATTTCAGCTTTAGCGCAGCGTCAAAAAGGCTTTTTACACTGCAAAATATTGGCGACAGTAACACATAGCCTTACAAAATATTGTTATTCTACAACAAGAAAAGCCTCATATACTTACTGGGGTGATACAGTTGCTGTCAAATCTCTCCTTGATTTCCTCTGATGGAAGATACCCTCCTAAAAGGTAAAGATTAAAACGTTGTTTCATATATTTCATGTCATTCTGTTATGGCAAATATTTGTAATTAAATAAGTGCTTAGCAGTCTGCTATCTAAATGCTATTGGAAGGATAAAAAAAGTATAGACAGTTTTCTGAAAATATATGCACCTCTCCCGAGGATCTCCTCTCGGATGCGGGATTTCTCCTCAACCAGTTCCACTCCTTCCTTGGAGGCGCGGAATCGCCTGGACCGCTGCTGGTTCATTTTGGCACGAGGGGCCTGTTCAGAGAAACAACATAATGTCACTACTGCTGCACAGGTCATTGGCCAACATATTGTTTTGTACAATACTGTAGAAAATCACAAAAAAAAAAGGGATCAATAGATTTTTACAAAAATCTCTCGAAAAGAAAGCAGCAGAATTTACCACTCCATCGATTGCCATGTAAAGAACCCTTCTGGGCCGCACAATATTGAAGAGCCGATCCATGTATTCAAAGATGGCAACCATCATTTCATCTTCATTTTTAGGTGCAGCCCTGTGAAAGGGAAGTTGAGTTTTAGAGTGTCAAGACAAGATTGTCATCACAATTCAATGTAATACACAAGAGTTCTACTATAGAGATAAATAACTATTTATACACCGCCTGGATGTATTCCAAATGGCACAGTATTCCCTATATAGTGCACTACTTTTAACCATAGCTTTATGGGCCCTGGTCAAAAGTAATACACTATAAAGAGAATATGGTGCCATTTGGGACAAAACTATGTTCTGTGAGGAGGACTAACTTGTCTTCAGGATGTGTACATGGGTGAATTATCCCATTCATGTCCAAGTACAAATTGTCAAACTCCACTTCATTTGGATTCGGTTTGCTGGTATCAACAGGAATCCGTATGCCATTGCATTCCTTGGACTGTGAGTGAAGGGAAGATGAAAACAAAATTAAACATTCTTGTTTAAATGAGTTGCAATGAGAACTAACGATAAATAAGGTTTGTTGCTATCTATATGAAACGTTACTTGGCTATGCCATGCATAAGATTCTGCTAAATGTTCTATAGTCAAACATTGACGGGCTGTCTAGCTTCAGTTTGTTTGCAAACCAACTCGACTCGTCATGCGCAACGACAATTTGTCACTCAATAGTCGTTTCACAATTAATTGTTCTTAGCCCCGGGCTATCTTCGCCCTAGACAATTAAACTCAACGATGTACGATGGAATTGGGCGGCGAATAGTGTGGGCGGACTGGAGCTCCGACGTCACAAAATTAAATTAATTTTTAAAATGACTGATTTTAGCGAACAAAGATTTACACACGACATTGTTCTGTGTAATTGAGGGCTATTTTTTGGGTGCTGAAGTACGTCGTTTTTTATTTTAAATTGTGACGTCGGAGCTCCAGTCACCGACAACTACATAGTAAATCGTGGAGTTTAGTTAGCTATTTTAGCCCCAGACTAGACTGGCCCGGGCTAATGTGCATGTGAACGCGCCTCATTGCAAGTAGCATAGTAGGCTGGCTAACTAGTTGCGTGCATCCCATACATTGTTCATTCAATCGACAAATGCTATGTTAATATGTTATACTAGTTAGTTATATCGTTAAGAGAAAAGTGATAACTAGATAGGTAATTTGATATCTAAAGTTCAGTAACGTTCGTACCTGCTAGCTGTGCTAACAAACACCTTACAGGAATAAAGAGTATATCATTATTACACGGCCTTAAAAATGCGCACCACTAGCTAGCAATCAGCTAGCTGGCTACAAACAAAGGCTTACCCTCTCCTCTGTACAATGGACAACAATCGTAGAATATTTCCGACTCAACCAACGAAAAAATGCGGGGACTCCCATCTCCCGTAGTATAACAATACACTACACACAGCTATAAATTATGACATATATTTAAAATGACTTGGTTAAAACGACGGCTGAAGAAATCGATAGCTGTTTTGCTAGCTACGCGTTACAACATAAGAGACAGACCACGTTTGATTTCCGGGTTATAGGGTTTTCATCTTCCGGGAGCAATTGTGCACAGGTGAGGAATCGAACAGCGCCGCCACCGCGAATTCAAACGTACCTCAATGATTAAAACCACAAAGAGGACAAACCTGAGGAATTAAGTGGTGAAACGTTGAAATGCTGCGTTCATAACCAAGTGGAAAGGTAGTATTTACCACATACAACACAACTGGGGAAAATCCACTTTAACGCCCCTCCAACTGGTAATTACTACTGGAAAACTCATCTATCATCCCTGAGCTCGGACTTCTCCCACATGCTGACCTCTGACGTCACATACTAAGGAAATTACCTTAATAACAGCATTTTCTGCAGTTAAAACAACAATGACGAGACTGCCTACAGGGAGAAGGTGAGGGCTCTGGGAGTGTGGTCCCAGGAAAAATAACCTCTCACTCAACGTCAACAAAACAAAGGAGATGATAGTGGACTTCAGGAAACACCAGAGGGTGCACCCCCCTATCCACATCGATGGGACAGCAGTGGAGAAGGTGGAAAGATTCAAGTTCCTTGGCGTACACATTACTGACAAACTGAAATGGTCCACCCACGCAGACAGTGTGGTGAAGAAGGCACAACAGAGCCTCTTCAACCTCAGGAGGCTGAAGAAATTTGGCTTGGAACCTAAAACCCTCACAAACTTTTACAGATGCACAATTGAGAGCATCCTGTTGGGCTGTATCACCGCCTGGTATGGCAACTGCACCGCCCGCAACCGCAGGGCTCTCCAGAGGGTGGTGCGGTCTGCCGAACGCATTACCAGAGAATGGCGCCGGAGAAGATGGCTGCCGTTTTACAGCCCTCTAACCAATTGTACTATTATGTGTGTTTTTCCGCGTTATTTGTAATTTATTTTGTACATAATGTTTCTGCCATCGTCTCTTAAAGCCAAAAAGAGCTTCTGGATATCAGGACAGCGATTATTCACCTCGTATTGGACAAATATTTTTTCTTCAACGAGGCGGCCTTGAAGGATATCCTACAGACACCCGACAAGGCCCAAATCCCTGTCATTCGCATGAGAGAGAGACGGAGATATCGTGGATGTAGTTCGGGGTGCCTTGTAAGGATCAGACGGCGAGCGAGTAAACTGCCTCTCCCATCAATCCTATTAGCCAATCTTCAATCATTTGAGATTGAGAAATTGGATGACTTAAGATTACGGTTATCCTACCAATGGGACATTAAAAACTGTAATATCTTACAGTGGGGAAAAAAAGTATTTAGTCAGCCACCAATTGTGTAAGTTCTCCCACTTAAAAAGATGAGAGAGGCCTGTCATTTTCATCATAGGTACACGTCAACTATGACAGACAAAACGAGAAATGAAAAATCCAGAAAATCACATTGTAGGATTTTTAATGAATTTATTTGCAAATTATGGTGGAAAATAATTATTTGGTCAATAACAAAAGTTTCTCAATACTTTGGTATATACCCTTTTGGCAATGACACAGGTCAAACGTTTTCTGTAAGTCTTCACAAGGTTTTCACACACTGTTGCTGGTATTTTGGACCCATTCCTCCATGCAGATCTCCTCTAGAGCAGTGATGTTTTGGGGCTGTCGCTGGGCAACACAGACTTTCAACTCCCTCCAAAGATTTTCTATGGGGTTGAGATCTGGAGACTGGCTAGGCCACTCCAGGACCATGAAATGCTTCTTACGAAGCCACTCCTTCGTTGCCCGGGCGGTGTGTTTGGGATCATTGTCATGCTGAAAGACCCAGCCACGTTTCATCTTCAATGCCCTTGCTGATGGAAGGAGGTTTTCACTCAAAATCTCACGATACATGGCCCCATTCATTCTTTCCTTTACACGGATCAGTCGTCCTGGTCCCTTTGCAGAAAAACAGCCCCAAAGCATGATGTTTCCACCCCCATGCTTCACAGTAGGTATGGTGTTCTTTGGATGCAACTCAGCATTCTTTGTCCTCCAAACACGACGAGTTGAGTTTTTACCAAAAAGTTATATTTTGGTTTCATCTGACCATATGACATTCTCCCAATCCTCTTCTGGATCATCCAAATGCACTCTAGCAAACTTCAGACGGGCCTGGACATGTACTGGCTTAAGCAGGGGGACACGTCTGGCACTGCAGGATTTGAGTCCCTGGCGGCGTAGTGTGTTACTGATGGTAGGCTTTGTTACTTTGGTCCCAGCTCTCTGCAGGTCATTCACTAGGTCCCCCCATGTGGTTCTGGGATTTTTGCTCACCGTTCTTGTGATCATTTTGACCCCACGGGGTGAGATCTTGCGTGGAGCCCCAGATCGAGGGAGATTATCAGTGGTCGTGTATGTCTTCCATTTCCTAATAATTGCTCCCACAGTTGATTTCTTCAAACCAAGCTGCTTACCTATTGCAGATTCAGTCTTCTCAGCCTGGTGCAGGTCTACAATTTTGTTTCTGGTGTCCTTTGACAGCTCTTTGGTCTTGGCCATAGTGGAGTTTGGAGTGTGACTGTTTGAGGTTGTGGACAGGTGTCTTTTATACTGATAACAAGTTCAAACAGGTGCCATTAATACAGGTAACGAGTGGAGGACAGAGGAGCCTCTTAAAGAAGAAGTTACAGGTCTGTGAGAGCCAGAAATCTTGCTTGTTTGTAGGTGACCAAATACTTATTTTCCACCATAATTTGCAAATAAATTCATAAAAAATCCTACAATGTGATTTTCTGGATGTTTTTTCTCAATTTGTCTGTCATAGTTGACGTGTACCTATGATGAAAATTACAGGCCTCTCTCATCTTTTTAAGTGGGAGAACTTGCACAATTGGTGGCTGACTAAATACTTTTTTCCCCCACTGTATGTTTCACCGAGTCGTGGCTGAACGACGACATGGACAACATACAGCTAGCGGGCTATACGCTACATCAGCAGGATAGAACGGCTGACTCCGGTAAGACAAGGGGTGGCGGTCTGTGTATATTTGTAAACAACAGCTGGTGCACAAAATCAAATACTAAGGAAGTCTCGAGGTTTTGCTCGCCTGAGGTAGAGTATCTTATGATCAGCTGTAGACCACACTATTTACCAAGAGAGTTTTCATCTATATTTTTCATAGCTGCCTATTTACCACCACAAACCAATGCTGGCATTAAGATTGCACTGAATGAGCTGTATAAGGCCATAAGTGAACAGGAAAACGCTCATCCAGAGGCAGCGCTCCTAGTGGCCGGGGACTTTAATGCAGGGAAACTTAAATCCGTTCTACCTAATTTCTACCAGCATGTTAAATGTGCAACCAGAGGGAAAAATAACTCTAGACCACCATTACTCCACACACAGAGACGCATACAAAGCTCTCCCTCGCCCTCCATTTGGCAAATCTGACCATGACTCTATCCTCCTGATTCCTGCTTATAAGCAAAAACTAAAGCAGGAAGCAACAGTGACTCGGTTAATAAAAAAGTGGTCAGATGACGCAGACGCTAAGCTACAGGACTGTTTTGCTAGCACAGACTGGAACATGTTCCGGGATTCTTCAGATAGCATTGAGGAGTACACCACATCAGTCACTGGCTTCATCAATAAGTTAATCGATGATGTCATCCCCACAGTGACTGTACGTACATACCCCAACCAGAAGCCATGGATTACAGGAAACATCCGCACTGAGCTAAAGGGTAGAGCTGCCGCTTTCAAGGAGCGGGACTCTAACCCGGACGCTTATAAGAAATCCCGCTATGCCCTCCGACGAACCATCAAACAGGCAAAGAGTCAATACAGGACTAAGATTCAATCGTACTACACCGGCTCTGACGCTCGTCGGATGTGGCAGGGCTTGAAAACTATTACAGACTACAAAGGGAAGCACAGCCGTGAGCTGCCCAGTGACACAAGACTTCCAGACGAGCTAAACCACTTTTATGCTCGCTTCGAGGCAAGCAACACTGAAGCATGCATGAGAGCACCAGCTGTTCCGGATGACTATGTGATCACGCTCTCCGTAGCCTATGTGAGTAAGACTTTTAAGCAGGTCAACATTCACAAGGCCGCAGGGCCAGACGGATTACCAGGACGTGTACTCCGAGCATGTGCTGACCAACTGGCAAGTGTCTTCACTTACATTTTCAACATGTCCCTGACTGAGTCTGTAATGCCAACATGTTTCAAGCAGACCACCATAGTCCCCGTGCCCAAGGACACTAAGATAACCTGCCTAAATGACTACCGACCCATAGCACTGACGTCTGTAGCCATGAAGTGCTTTGAAAGGGTGGTCATGGCTCACATCAACACCATTATCCCAGAAACCCTAGACCCACTCCAATTTGCATACTGCCCCAACAGATCCACAGATGATGCAATGTCTATTGCACTCCACACTGCCCTTTCCCACCTGGACAAGAGGAACACCTACGTGAGAATGCTATTCATTGACTACAGCTCAGCATTCAACACCATAGTGCCCTCAAAGCTCATCACTAAACACCTCCCTCTGCAACTGGATCCTGGACTTCCTGACGGGCCTTCCCCAGGTGGTAAGGGTAGGTAACAACACATCTGCCACACTGATCCTCAACACGGGGGCCCCTCAGGGGTGTGTGCTCAGTCCCCTCCTGTACTCCCTGTTCACCCATGACTGCATGGCCAGGCACGAATCCAACACCATCATTAAGTTTGCCGACGACACAACAGTGGTAGGCCTGATCACCGACAACGATGAGACAGCCTATAGGGAGGAGGTCAGAGACCTGGCCGTGTGGTGCCAGGATAACAACCTCTCCCTCAACGTGACCAAGACAAAGGAGATGATTGTGGACTACAGGAAAAAAAGAGGACTGAGCACGCCCCCATTCTCATCGACGGGGCTGTAGTGGAACAGGTTGAGAGCTTCAAGTTCCTTGGTGTCCACATCACCAACAAACTATCATGGTCCAAACACACCAAGACAGTCGTGAAGAGGGCACGACAAAGCCTTTTCCCCCTCAGGAGACTGAAAAGATTTGGCATGGGTCCTCAGATCCTCAAG